CATTATTTGTAAGGGTGCCCTTTGAAATGGCACATTTTCTCGATGTTTTAGCGAGTACTCCGCGGGTATATGGCTTGTTCTCACATTAGGATAATTTTCCTCGAGTTCACTCATCGCTTTCCCACATGCACTTCTCGTTCTTTGCTGCTAACTTTTTTGCACTCTAATATGGTGTTGTTTTTGTCTTTCTAAACATCGAGTTTATTTTTGACATTCAACGAGATCGCTTGAATTTTGAATTTGATGTCGGTTCGAATTTATCCACTTTTACAGTGATCAACATTGCGTTCGAGTAGAGTTTAATACTAGTAATTACAAGCCTGATTTACATTTTTCTTGCGGTGTTTTTCGTCAATGTATTAAATATAAGTGCTTTGGGAAATACGTTACATAATTATATTGCGCGAGTGAAAGAGTTTGGTGAGACTGTCACAACACGTTTTATTTATTTCCAACGCGCGTGGTCGGCACCTCTGATTGCATTTATTTTGTATTTTTGTTTTCAAAATGTATCACTGGCTGCGTTTGTTTTGTTTTCCTCAACAAATTAACTGTTGAGATCTCTTTCATTTTTCGTCCGGCTGCTGCCAATCCAATAATTCGTCGCCGCATGTAATCAGACAAGCGATTAATCGTCACAGTCATTATACTAGTAGTTTAAGTCCAATTGATTTGTAGAAATTCAGCTATGCGATAATTATATGTGCAGTTTTGTTTTGCGCACCCAGACACGAGCAAAAGTTAACCAATAGATTTTCTGAACTACAGCATTCGTATTACTTATGCAAATTGAGTAAGGGTCATAGTGTGAGTTGCGTTCGCAAATTACAAAGTGTCAAATTATTTTGAGCGCCGTTCGGAATAAATTTAGTCAAAATCACACACACACAACACACAAATACTAGTACTCAATACATATCGCGATTGACCAGTTATATAGCTGCTTGAACTACACACACAAGAACGTAAATATGTAAATACAGGTCACAGTTCGACTTGCGTAGCAAACGTTACAATGTGTCAAGTGATTTGAAGGCGTCTTTGTTCAAAAACAGAGAAACAACAGACGTTGTGTTTTGAATCGTCATTAAAACATAAATTTATTACGAATAAAAACTTAAGTTTATACATACAATGTACGATCATTGTTACTCCAGCGGTCGGTTGGCAAGCGGACGATGTTTCTGAAGCCAGCCATAGCAGGAGCGAGCGAGCGAACAAAAGCGAGCGAGCGAGCGAACAAAAGCGAACGCGAGCGAGCGGAAAAAAAGCGGTCGGTTTCCGGTCGGAAAGCAGTGAGCGGTCGGAAATTAAGCGATAAGCGGTCGGAAAAAAAGCGATAAAAGCAGGAGGTTGGGCGGAATGAGTACTGTACATGCATCTTTCATAGAGTTATAAGTTTTATTCTGCTTTGCAAATTTATTTCACCTTTGCAAAACATTACTCTTAGAACAAGCTAAAAAATTTAAAATATGTAAAAATTATGTTGTTTTTGATGTTAAATATGATCACAGTCCCTCTGTGATAGAGGAACTGTGATATGATTATATTAAAAGTAGACATCCTGCCCTGACCTTCCTACACAATTCATGTTGATAGTGCTGTAGGTATATTCCCCTCAGACAAGCATACATACTATACAAGTGAAATTGTAGTTTATACAAGAATTTCAGCATCTAGGATAACACTAATCGATGTAAAAACAATGCCAGTCAACATAAATACACGGTCACACATGTGAAATGACTTGCAACTTGTACAGCGGTAGCCGCTCGGTTTTTAATCGCGCAACCTACAGTCACCAAGTGGCCACCGGCGTTCTACCAATATATGATGTTCTATAAGTAAGTGCAGCAATTGTGTCTAAATTAACTTGTTCAAGTAGTTTGACATAAATACACATTTTCATAACATTACCTGCTCCTTGCCTTTGCCGTTCTCCATTTTCATTTTGGCCGAGGTTTCTGGGTAGTCACGAAGTACAGTCTCGAGGTTTTGGCATTTCTCAAATAGGTCATGCGAGGGAGCTATATGTTGAAATTGTGAAGATGGTCGACTTCCGTGCGAGGTTATAATGCAGGTGCCTTTTCTGTAGCTAGATGCCGTGTTAGCCAAGTAGAGTTTATTTTTCTGGCCCATTCCGTTTTGTACTGACTTAAAGATGACGGCTTTATTTATTCGTGGTACGATTCCTTGCTGTTTCTCTCGTGTACGCCCAATTATACCGATCGCTATGGGCATGTGTCTCGGAATCACATTGAGTTTGTTGTGCTCCCCTTTGCTGGACACAAACTGTGGTCTCGACAGCTTCGTGCACATCGGCAGAAGTCGAAAGACTACGGCATATGTTGCCAACCCAGAGGAGAAGAGTGGCTTCAGTTACGCTCAGGATGACTTTGAACCGGTTTTGATGACTCAGAATAAACCGCCAGAGAAGAAGACTGTGGAAAACCCACGATTGGTAAGGACTCGATATATTTCATCCGAACTGGGAATAAAAGAACAGTTATTTGTCGCCGTGGTGGCCTCCAAACAACTCGTGAATGAAAACTCATTGAGCGTCGCTCTGAACAAAACCTTGGCACACTACGTTTCTAAATTGATATATTTCACAAACATACAACCGGCAACTACCCCAAGTGGTCTAACTGTGGTTACTTTCCCGGACACTCGACCCATTACACAAATGTTTCACACGTGGAAGTACATCTATGACCACTATGGCAATGACTACGACTGGTTCCTGATGATGCAGGACGATACCTATGTGTATGGTGAACAGTTAATGTATTTTATAAGTCACATGAGTACTGGTAGAGATGCGTATATGGGACAGTCACAGCATGATGCGGACTTAGATATCACTTACTGCCAAAGTGAGCCAGGTAATGTCATATTCTACATTGTCATAGGCACTGAGTCAAATATGGAATATAATATCTATTGAGCACTATTTGTGTACTGGAGCATTTTATTTTTGTTCAGAGGGTTTGCATCG